GGTTTTCCAGCCAGAAGTTATGGGGATTCTCTTCCTGGCACTGGATCCCTGAGTGGGGCACCTGGTGTGGGACAGGGACCCCTCAGTCCTCAGGGAGGACCTTCCCGGCTGAGGTGTCCTCCTGATTTTTATCCGCCACACGTGGGTGTGGGACCAGCCCGTCCACCTCCGTCCCTCCTACCAGTCTCCATGTGGCTGCTGCTTTAATTCCGTAGCTGTAGGACTTCCATTCAGCTTGATTTCAGGCGGTTTTTATGATGGTTGTTCTGTAGTTTAGTTGTTTGTTACTTTGATGTGGTTGTGGGAGGACGTGATACCGCGGTTACCTACCCACCATCTTGACCGGAAGTCCTGACACCTTTATTTTAGATTTCTGGTCTCCAGAACTGAGAAAATAAATTTCTATTGTATTTATTATCTATCTATCTATCTATCTATCTATCTATCTATCTATCTATCTATTTATTTATCTTTATTGATGTTAGAGGGAGAGAGGAAGTGAGAGGGAGAGAGAGAGAAACATCAATGAAAGAGAACATTGACTGGCCGCTACCTGCATCCCCCCAACTGGGGATCGGGCCCACAACCCGGGCATTTGTCCAGACTGGGAATTAAACTGGGGACCTCTTGGTGCATGGGTCTGATGCTCAACCACTGAGCCACACCAGCCAGGCCATGTCTATTGTTTTAAGCCATTGAGTTTTAGGGTAGTTGTTACAGCAGACATACCAAGGGGAATGGTAGTGGGTGAGGAAACTGGAGGGGAAGCACCCAGGTATGTGGAAGGCCTGGGAGGAAATGAGGACCCCCACTGGGGCGGGGAGGGGGTTTGATGAATGGCAGGCACATGGGCCTGGACCCTGCTCTTGGCTCTGGTTGTCAGAGTGAGGTTTGCTCCACAGCCCCTTTGTGGGTAAGCATGACTGGGAGGAGGTGGGAAACCTTGCCCAGGAGCCCCTCACTCACCAGGCATTTCCTGAGCACCTGCCGTACACTGGCCCAGGCCAGGCCTGGAGGTGGAAGTGCAGTGTGGGATAGGCCTCCCTTGAAGGAGGAAGTCCATCGGGGCCCTGGACTGAAGTCTGAGGTCAAGACCAGAGGGAGGTGCTGCAGTGTGGGCACTCCCGGTGATCCTCCCAGTCTTTTTTTTTTTTTAATTAATTTATTTTTGTTACAGATGTTTCTCCTTTTTCCCCCACTGATTTCCCTCTCCCCCTCCCTCCCCGCCGTCCCCAGCTTTGTTGTCCATTGGTCATGCATACATGCATATAAGTTCTGTGGTTTATCTCTCCCCCACCACCACCTCTTCTGGGGATTGTCAGTCTGTACCCCACTTCCACGTCTCTGGGACTACCCCATTCCTCTGACTGTTCTGTTCATTATATTCCACAGATAAGTGAGATCATATGATACTTGTGTTTCTCGGTTTGGCTTGTTTTGCTTAGGATAATACTTCCCAGGTCCCTCCATGTCGTCTCAAAGGATAAGAGATCTTTCTTTCTTACAGCTGCATAGTACTCCATTGTGCATATGTACCACAGCTTTTTTATCCATTCCTCTACTGATGGACACTTGGGCTGTTTCCAGATCTTAGCTATTGTAAATAGTGCTGCTACAAACATGGGGGTACATATATTCTTTCTGATTGGTGTTTCAGGCTTCTTAGAGTATATTCCTAGAAGTAGGATCACTGGATCAAATGGCAGTTCAATTTTTAATTTTTTTTTAAATCACCCGAGGACATTTTTCCATTTTTTGTTCAGATAGAGTGGGAGGGAGGGAGGGGGAGAGAGAGAGAGAGAGAGAGAGAGAAACATTGACATGAAAGGGACACATCGAGTGGCTGCTACACGCACGACCAACCAGGGCTGGGGACAAACTGCAACCAAGGTACGTGCCCTTATCAGGAACCGAACCCGGTTCTTTCTGGACTGTAGGCCAATGCTCTAACCGCTGAGCCCGCAGGCTGATGCTCTAACCGCTGAGCCAAACCGGCCAGGGCTCAAGTTTTAATTTTTTGAGGTAACACCATATTGTTTTCCATAGTGGCTGCACCAGTCTGCATTCCCACCAGTTCCTCCCAGTCTTGCACACATCCAAGATGTTCCAGATGCCCTGGTCGGTTTGGCTCAGCGGTTAGAGCATCGGCCTGCGGTCCGGAGGCACCCGGGTTCGGTTCCCGCTAAGGGCACATACCTCGGTTGCAGTTTGTCCCCGGCCCTGGTTGGTTGTGGGGGTGGAAACCACTCGATGTGTCCCTTTCACATCGATGTTTCTCTCTCTCTCTCTTCCTCTCTCTCCCTCCCGCTCTATCTGAACAAAAAATGGAAAAATGTCCTCGGGTGAGGATGATAAAAAACAAAACAAAACAAGATGTTCCAGAAAACAGTGCTCACCTGTGTTTACACATGCTCACATGTTCACTCATGTGCTTACATGTGTTCACACAAGCTCATACATGCACACATACACATTCACTGCAGCAAAGGCTGCCTCTCAGCCTTGTCCAGCTGCTTCTGTCCAGGTTCGGAGCTTGGTGAGTGCTGAGGGCAGATGTTTGGTTCACACAGCATCCAGCCTAGAGTGATGGATGTGGTAGGTAGTTATGAACCTGAAATCAAGTGCTATTAAAGTGAAATTGTTGCTGGGCATTTGGGCAGTTCCTTAAAGCAGCCCATATGACAAGGGGAGAAGCAGGCAGATTTGTCAGTCTCAGGCTCCTCCCACCTGAATGGACCTGAGGTGTAAAAGAAAACTTTTCTATATTTATAACACTTGTAACACCCAATGTGTGGGTTTCTCTCCCCAGGCAATTCTCCAGTTCTCTGCAGACACCAACTGGGTGTCCTACAATTTAACTCAAATCTGACAATAACTGCTGGGCACTAGGGCAGACTCCACAGGCTGAGGGCTCAGTCCCACAAAGACCACCCTGACTTCAGACCCCAGTCACAGGTCCAGGTTGTCACCTGTGCTTCTGACAGGCCAGCTATAAATTGGAAGTTCCCATGATTGACCTCCTTGGGTTCCATAATTAGAAGGGTTCACAGAACTCAGAGAAATGCTTTATTTCTGTTTACTGGTTTATTATAAAGGATACAACTCCATAACAGCAGACAGAACGGATGCACAAGGAAGATGTGGGAGGGTGCAGACCTTCCGTGCCCTCTCTGGGAGCACCATCCTCCCAGCATCTCCATACCTTTACCAACCCAGGTCTCCAAACCCCTTCATTTGGGGTTTTATTGGAGGTTCCATTACCCAGGCTGATTGGTTAAGCTCAGTCTCCAGCCCTTCAAGCTCCAAGGAGGTCAGGAGTGGAGCTGAAAGTTCCAACTCTCTACTCACAAGGTGGGTTTCTCTGGCAATCAGCCCTCATCCTCCAAGAGTCACCTTATTGGTATAAACCCAGGTACGGCCGAAAGGGGGCTTTATTAATAAAAACAAATGCTTCTCTCACCCTATCACTAAGGAAATCCCAGTGTTTTAGGAGCTCTGTGCCAGGAACTGGAACAAAGATGGAATATATATTTATTATCTGACAATAGCACAGTGTGGCCTGTGCCCAGGGAATCCCAGGTAAAGCCAGGAGGATGCTGGTGCCTCTAGGTGGACTAGGAGTGGGGAGGGGCATAGGCAGCGAGACCTCAGGTGACCATCACTGGTCACAGGTGGGGGTCAGGGTCAAGGACGTACATTGAGAGGCATCTCTTCAGCCCATGACTCGGAAAATGGTCAGCCAACAAACCAGGAGAAAGCTCAGGGCTGAGAAATGGGAAAGAACGCTGAACGAAGTCGGGTGGTCACAAGGCGGATGCCAGTCGGTCTTCCTGGAGTGGGGAAGGCCCGGCCACTGAGTGGGGCTTTCCCAGGAGGGCAGGTCCAGACCGGCCAACTCTACACCACTCACTTCCCGCCACATCTGACCAGACCCACAGCCTGGCCCCTGGTCCCACCCTGCACGACCCCTGGGGCAGGCAATCCCTGGCTAATTTCTGGGTCAGAGTCTGAGTACCGTCGGGTTGGGGGTCTCACTCGTGAAAACTCGCCCAGCAAAGGAAATAAGCTAGTCTTGATTGCAGGGCAAGGGCCCTCGGCCTGCGAAAAGGGCCCCTCTGAGACATGGGCTTCAGCTGACAATTGAGGAGCAGCCTGGTCTCCGATTTGACTCAGGGGTCACCGATTCCTCCCAGCATCCGCGGACCCCGGGCTAGCACCGACAGGCCCTGAGCATCAGAGTCCCCTTCTCTCAGGCCAGCCCAGTCCCTGCGGGCTGAGACAGCCCTGCCCCAATGGGCGTCCTGCCAAGGCCCCCAGCCGGCTCCGGCTTCGGAAAACCTGCGGTTGCCATGGTTTCCACGGCGCAGCCCGAATCGAGGCGGTCCACAAACCTCGTACCTCATCCCCGCTCCTTCCCCTCAGGCGCTGGGCGCACAACCAACTCGCGAGACCTCCCACCATCGCCCCCGTTCAGCCGGCCTTCCTACCCCGGCTGCCACCTGCGGCCGCCGGGTCGGGTCTCTCCGAGGCAGTAGCCTTGGGGGTGGCACGGCGCATGCATTGTGATGTTTCTGACTGCAGGAGGTTGCGTCACAAACTCCTAGGTCTCGCGAGCGAGGTGCAGGCCAGGAAGCGCCGCTGGTGTAGTGGTATCATGCAAGATTCCCATTCTTGCGACCCGGGTTCGATTCCCGGGCGGCGCATCTCTCTTTCAGCTTTTTTTTCCCCCCATCTCAAAAAAATGTCGGTGACAGCAAATATTTCAAGACGAGAGAAAACCGGAAACGTGGGGTAACCATTCCGGTGCAGCACGAACGAGACAGTTTCAGAGTCACGAGCGCTAGGAAAATGTTAGGGCAGTCAGGGCGACAGGGTGCTGGGCTGAGGAGCGCCTAAGACACCGGCGACCCAAACTCTCCGCCCAGTGCCCCGCAGCAGGTTCCGCTCCCGACGGGCCTCGGGTGACGCGGGCCCTTTAATGCGCTGCACGCGTCCTCCTGGGAACTGCAGTCCCTGTGGGGCGGGCTCCGCGGCCGCCGGACTACAGCTCCCGGGGGGCCTCGCAGCCGCTGTACTACCGATCTTGGCGGACTGGCTGCGGGGTCGCGATGCTGGTGGCGGCGGCCGCGGAGCGGAACAAGGAGCCCATCTTGCGCGTGCTGCGGCAGTACCTGGACCCGGCCCAGCGCGGCGTCCGCGTGCTTGAAGTGGCCTCGGGCTCAGGTCAGCACGCGGCCCACTTCGCGCAGGCCTACCCTCATGCCGAGTGGCAGCCGTCTGACGTGGACCAGCGCTGCCTGGACAGGTGCAGGGAAAGGCGGGAGCCCGCGGGGGTGAAAGTGGGCCCCATCCCGCCACCCCGGCTCCCCACGCCACTGTGAGCAGGGCTGCAGGGGGTGTCAGGAACGGGTGCACAGGCCACCCCCACCCACGAGCTGTCATCCGACAGCATCTCGGCCACCACTCAAGCCCAGGGGCTAGCCAACGTGAAGGCTCCGCTGTACCTGGATGTGACCTGGAATTGGGAGCAATGGGGCGGAATCCTGCCGCAGTCGCTGGACCTGCTGCTCTGCATCAACATGATCCACATCAGCCCCCTGAACTGCACCGAGGTCTGTGGGAGCGTGGGTGAGCCACATAAGGGCCAACCAGCCTTCCCCCTGCATTGGAAGGGAGCACGGTACCAGCTTTGCTCCGTTTCATAAGGCACTGAGGTCCAGGGAAGTCAGGTTGAGTCTCCAGCCCCCAGCCCAGGGCTGTTTTGGAGGTCTGGGGAAAGTTCCTCACTGCCATCCCGCCTCCTCCCTTCCTAGGGGCTCTTCAGAGCAGCAGGACATCTGCTCAAACCCAAGGCACTGCTCATCACCTATGGGGTGAGTGTTCCTGCCAGAGATGGCACTCCCCTGGCTGGATGATCCCAGCCAGCCTCAGCTAGCTGTCCCCTCTGTCCTGTCTCAGTATTTTCTTTTGCCCTCTCCCCCACTACCTGTCACTGAAACAGGCCCAGACCTTCCACCTCTCAGTCTCCCTGCTCCCCCTAGACTCATGGGAGGGAGCAGGGAGCAGTGTGTCCTTTTCATCCTCCCGGCACCAGCCTGCAAGTCTGTCCAGTGGCTGACTGGGCACTAGCTGACCCCCAGGGCTGTGGGCAGAGCTGTGCGTCCCTGTTTCCACAGCCCTACGCTGTCAATGGGAAGATCTCTCCCCAGAGTAATGTGGACTTTGACCTGACCCTCAGATGCAGGTTAGAGCTGGATGAGTGGGGGGCCTGATTGGAAAGGCAAATGAGCTGGGTGACCCCCAACTCTACCTCTTTCCCCCTTGCAGGAACCCAGAATGGGGGCTGCGGGACACAGCCTTCTTGGAGAATCTGGGCCAGGCCAGCGGCCTGCTCCTGGAGAAGATGGTAGGTGGGGAAGGCTGGGGGTCTGGTGGCTTCCCTGGGCAGTTTCTCCAGCCAAAGCACCTCTCCTAGGTGGATATGCCAGCCAACAACAAGTGCCTGATTTTCCGGAAAGAGTAACCCCCCCTTCCTCATGCCTATGTCCCCAATGAGAACAAACCCAAGACAGCCAGTCCCTGCCTTCCAGGACCTTGCCCATTCCAGGGGCTCTTGGTCAGTGGCCACGGGGCTGCTGAGAGCCTGGGAATAAAGTGTTTCCTGCTATCCTGTTGCTGGTGTCCTCTACTCTTCCTGAGAGCACCCCTGATGGTGCTGGGTATGCAGACTGTGTCTCCAAGGGCTCCATTACTGGGGGCAGGAGGGGTCTGGCCTGTGGGGTCAGGGTGTGGGGATGTCCTAGACCCTGCTGTTCCATTTGAGCAGCAGAGAAGGGAGAACATCCAAGGACTGCTGAGGTAGGACTGAACTGGCTGCATAGCCCTCCTGCCACCAGGGGTGGCACCCTCCACCAGGCCTGGGCCTGGCTTGTGTTCCTGCAGGGAGATAGGAGGCTCCCCAGGAGGGAACTGGTGCTCCCTGGTGGTCTTGGACTAGAGCCAAAGTCCCAGTGTGGTGGCAGGACCCTAGCTGGATTACCGGCGGACAGGGGAGGGTGGTAACCCTGAGAGGCTTAGCATCAGCAGGCCACGATGCCCCTCCTGGGAAATGCTTTTATTTGGAGGGGTTGGGAGGACTGGAGGGCAGGGCAGGCAGAGCTCCAGTCGGGCGGGGCTAGTCCTGGAAGCGGTTGAGCAGCTCACAGGCCCTCTTCTCCAGGAGCTCGGAGATCTTCTTGACGCGCTTCTCACTGGCGGTGCGGACATAGCTCCCAGCATCCAGGACAGCCACACCGTCTCGCACTTCACCCATAATGACCAGAGGGCCATCACCTGCTGTCACATTGGGACAGGGGCAGGCCCAGTCCATGCCACTCAGTGTCACCTCCAGGTACTTGGTGCCCAAGAACCTGAGGCCCATCTTGTCGTCCTTGAGCACATCGTCTAGAGCCACGCGGGCAATGCTGCCACCACCTGCCTCAGACTCCTCTAGCACTTCTGTGAGTCGCCCTACGATGGCAAAGTCACTGCGGCACAGGCTCAGTGCCAGCTTGCTCCTGAGGCGGCAGGCCCGGCAGGGTGGCATGCGCGGCACAGGACAGGCATCCTCACAACTCTCTTGGCTCTCGAAGTTGTTGCTATTGCCTTCACAGCCACCATATATGAAGGGGTGGCACTGCTGCAGCAGGGGGCTATAGGCCCAGCGTGGCTCCCAGCCCTGGCAAGGGCCCTGCACGGCTGGCAGCACACAGTTATCCCCAGGTCCACGGGCACAGGCTTGCTGGCACTCCTCATAGGTCTCAAAGCCCTGGGTGCCCCCATCACAGCTGCCAACTTGGAAGGTCATGCAACCACCCCGCTGTGGGTCAAAGTGCCAGAGGACATGGCTGGAGAGGGTGCCAGCACAGGCCTGCACGTTGGGCAGGCACTCAGTGGGGGCACTGGGGGCCCTGTCCCTGGCCAGATCCCGCTGGACCACGGAGAGTGGGAAGTCAGCCCGCAGCAGGCCAGCAGTGTTGCGTGCAGTGCAGGTGTAGAGGCCAGCATCCTCAGGCCGGGCATTGTAAAGCACCAGCTGCCCAATGCTGGTCACTACCACATTGCCATACATCTGATCTGGCCGCATGATCAGGTTCTCTCGCTGCTCACTCTGCTTCTCCCAGGTCACAGCAGGTGGTGGTCGGCCACTGACATCACAGTGGAGGCTGGCGGTGCCCCCCACATACACCACCTGTGGGGCAGGGCTGCTGTAGAGGGCAGGTGGCACCGGGGTATCTCCGGGTGTCGGGCGGGCAGTGGTTTCAGGTGGCCCTGGGCTGCTTGGTGGCCAGCTGAGGATGTGTTTACAGGGCACGACGTGCAGGCGGAGGCCACGCAGGCAGGCCTCGGCATCCATGTAGCAGCGATTATAATAGGTGAGACCATCTGAGGCACAGGTGAAACTGGGTTCCTTCTCACAGCGGTCACGGCAGCGGCACACAGGTTGCCCGTCCCAGATGTCGCAGTCGGAGCCCTGCTGTGGGCACGAGAAGCCCTCACACGAGGCCACCAGTGCAGGTGTGGCCAGGCCACTCTCGGGGAATCGGGCAGCCACACAGCTCTGCAGTCCACACACATTGGTGCAGCACTTCTCAGTGGCCAAGCAGTCCTGGGGGGTGAGGGGCAGCTCAGAAGGCAACCAAACACCCCCCAGCCCCACCCAGGGTCCTGGCTTTGCAAGGTATACCCCTACTGCTTCTCCCTGGGCCTCTGGAAAGTTGAGCAGGTTTGCACAAATTTGCTTTCCATCCAGTGCAATTACAGCTGTCTCACTGACCAGTCCTGTGTGTCATCTCACTGAATCCTCAGACCCCCGCCGCCCAAAGCAGGTTTAATTATTATTCCCATAGTACAGATGAGGAAACTGAGGCCCAGGGAAGACAGGCAGCATGCTCAATGACATTTCAGGGGATGAATGGCAGGCTGTAAAGGTGGGGCATCTGAATGTGGCCCCTGCCTTTCTACCTGGCTGGTGTTGAGAATTGGCCCCAGGGTGGGGGTGGGCAGGTTTGAGGGTGATGGGGGTAAAGATGGGGTGTCTCTTGAGATCCTCATATGGGGGTATGGCCTGATATCCCTCCAGGATATGGGAGAAGAGAAAGAAATGGAACCTAAGAGCTGGGGGCAGGGATGGGGTCTGGACTTCCCCCAGGCCACCCTAGTTCCCTGGGAACCCCACCGGGGTGGGTGGGTGGGGATGGTGCCCACACTCACCTGGTCCCCGATGCACTCACGCTCACAGGTACTCTGGGCATCCACCCACAGGTTGGGGCTGAGCTGGTTGGGGCACACGCCTGGGTGGCTTCTGGGCCCCTGCAGCAGGCTGGCCCGGGAGGGCAGCCCAACCATGAGGAGTAGCGGAAGGAGCAGCCTCTGGGCTGACATGGGGACCACCAGCCCAGGGGTCAGGGGTGTGTGGCTGCCAGCCCTTCAGGCCCTGCTTTATCCTGATCCCTTCAGGCATCCACCCTTCCAGGCCTGTGGTCAGCACCCCTGACCTTGGACCCCTGGCTGATCCTCTGGGCTCCTTTTTGGCCCCCAAGTTGAGCCCACAGCAGATGGTCCCTTCTCAACACCCTTGCGCAAAGGGCTGGGTGGATTCCAGATCTCTCTGAGCTCTGGCGAGACCCCTTCACAGCCTGGCCTGTGTGGTCAACACAGGGCAGGGGGCGTGGTGGGGGAAGGGCTGGGGAGGAGCTGAGAACCAGGAGCAAGGAGACACTGGCCACCAGGATTACTGAGGGGCGGAGAAGGACTGGCTCCGGCTGGAGTAGGGAGGGGAGGGAACACTGTAACCAGAGGCCCTCCTCCCTCCAGGCCCTGGGCTCAGGGGATCAAAGCAGGCTCACAGACCCTGCCAGCCCTGGGTTCAGTACTTGGGAGGAGGGGGAAGGGAGATCAAACACAGGGGCCGCCAGAATCTGCCCTTCAAAACCTTTCCCTGGGGTCTGGGGCCCCAGAAGCATCTGCTTTGAGACTGGATGGAAAATGCCCCGTGACCCCATGCCTGACCTTCTGACCCAGAAGGCAGGGTAATAAGAGCCTGGTCTGGTCAGAATGAGACCAAGAGACATCCCAGGTGCAGAGGACACCATTGATCTGCCCTAAGACGGGGCCCCAGGCATGGGGGGGGGGAGGGTCACTGGGCCAGATTTTCAATGGGGCTCAAGGCCCAGAACCCTCCCACAAAGCTGCAGCCTGAGGTACAGTCCCGAGTGTGGGGGTAATGTTCAGTGTGATGGGCCTCTTATCTCCATTGACCTCCAGGGTATCCACCAGAGCCCAGGGCCCAGGTCCTCGTGGCTGGAGTCTCAGGGGACAGCCCACCCCAGGTCACCACTGCATCCCTGGCTCCAAGCAGCAGTGAACTCAGTGGTTATGCCCTGCCAAAGCCCTCAGCGAGGGTTGTTTCCTAGGTTTAGGATCCCAGGCTCCAACCTTTGGGGGCAGCAGGGAGCAGGTGGTCCGGCCAGCCATCTGCTTCGCTACCACACAGGGAAGGGCAGGCTAGGGAGGGCTGCCTGCCTAGCCCACTGAGAAACACAGCTTGCCCTGTATCCAGGGAGGCTGATGCAACCACTCTTGGCCCTCATGGCCAGGATGTGTACCAGTCAGCAAGACTAGTCATGGGGGATGGAGGGATCGACAAAGCAGCCCTTAACCCATCCTGCTGGAGTGCAGACCCACCCGACACCACACCTCCGACCCACCAGCCAGCGAAAACTAGAGACTTTAATTCACATAAAATGTAGCCTGGAGATCAGAGCTTAATTACATTTACTGTACAAAGAAAAAAAAACCGTCCAAAATGAGCTCAGGAATGGTGTGAGTGTCAGCAGCAAAGGGTAGTGTTTATGAGGTGAACGCAGGACCGTCCACACCCTCACAATAAAGTCCATGTTATTTGGTTCAAAGTACAAAGAAAGGGTCTCTATTGGCAGGACAGGACAGGCAGGGCCTCCTCTGCCTGACCCTGCTGATGGCCAGGGTCCCCAGGTGAACCGGATCACAAGGGCAACAGACCCCCTTCCCACCTGGCCTCCCAGTATAGCAGGCATTGGGCTCCCTCCCCCATGGGACACCCACCACAGAGGAGTCTCAGAGTGAGGGGATCTCAGGCCCAGGGAGAGCCCAGCAGGAGGTAGAGTTGAGCACCGGTGTGACTGGTGGCAATGTCACCAGCCAGGCAGGCAGGAGGCAGCAAGGCCTCCAGCTCAGGCTGGCTGCTGGGCCATGGAGGAGGTTCACTGCTGTGACTGCTCCAGGTGGCATCACTAAGAACTGGGTCAGAACGGTTCTGGTGACGTGACCTCAAAGAGGGGCAATGCCAGGCCAGGAGCAGCTATGGGTTGATACCCAAGGTCAGGGAACAAGCTGGCAAGAATGGGGTCCAGGTGCCTAGAGGCGAGTGGGCCACGACTCAGTCCAAATCTGCAGAGTGCCTGGCAGCCCCTCAAGTATTTATCACCTACAGACAGCTCTGCATCTTCACAGAGATGCTGAGTCCATCTCATGGAGCAACATATGTAAAATTGACCAAAGGTGCCTCCATGCAGGGGGGGATGTGGGGTGCACCCCACTTCTCCCAGAAACACTGACACTCTGCTTGGAGTCCATGGTTCCACGACACACAGGAACATCTTCCAGGAAGCAGCAGCCCCACTATGCAGACTGCTGGGCCCAAACCCGTACACTGCTCAGTGCGGTGTGGTAGGCACACTAGCCACCATGCTCAGAAAGGCCGGGATGGGTAGCGAGGTCTGAGATTGCTGCCCAAAGCTCAATGTGTCCCCACTGGCCCCTGCATAGCCCACACCCCACGTGAAGTGTGATGGCGGATTCCTTCCCATCTTTATTCCAGTCCCACCCTCTCCAATGTCCTAAAGGTCATCCCCACAAGCGGACATGAGCTCATTTCATGGCTGCATTAAGGCTTCCCTGTCGGCCCTTTAAAAAGGTATAAAAGTGGTGAAATGTCTTCTATATAAATAAGAAAGTGAGCCAGGCCCTGCAGGACCCCAGGACAGTTCCCTCGAGGTGGAACCAAGGAGAACATGTGGGGACTTGGGCTTGTTTCGAAGCACAGCTTCCTACAGGGCTCATCTGGCTGAGACCACCTGCCTGCCAGGTGCACCCCATGCCTCCAGGAGGGGTCCTGCGGCCAAAGTCTTCCCTGCACCTGGTGCTGCCCCAGCGCCCAGCAAGGAGCTTCCCCACACTCCCTAAATGTGTCCGATGGGCGGTGCCTGTCTCCCCCGCTAGGAGATCTTGCAGTTGCTCCTGGAGCAGTTCTGGGGCGGGCTCTGGGGTGGGCGGATGGACTTAGACCTCTTGAGGCTGTTGCCCTTGCTGCCACCACCCCCCGCCCCACTGGCCAATGAGTAGGAGCGCCCATGCATCATGACAGCGTTCATGCCATTGGCCATTGAGAAAGACTTGAGGTGGCTCTTGATGGTGACAGGCAGCGGGAGCTTGTCGATGAGGTGCACGGGAGTGCAGGAGACGATGGCACGGCAGCAGAGGTCCTGCAGGCTGAACACTGTGGGAGTGGTCAGAGAGGGGAGTCAGATGGGAGAGGATCAGACTACAGCGGGGACTAAACCATGAGGAGGGTGGTCAGATGATGGGGAAGGTTCAGACTGGAAGGAAAGGCAGTGAGGCACTGAGAGATCTCAGAGCCTAAGGACCCAAGGAGGGGGGACACTGAGGGACAAGCTGTCATCTGGCCAGATGAGCACAAGTGATTCTCAGTGGGGGATAGAGGGTTCCAGCTGGGATGCTTGGTGCTGGATACCACCAGGTGCAGCCCCTGGATGGCACCCTGCTCCTTTCTCCCTACTGCTGCATACTGAGAAGTGTCCTTGGGGACTTCACTTGTAGCCAGCTCCGCCCCCAGCACCTTGTAGGAGACCAAAGCTTCTGGGAACACTAGCTACCTCTAGCAGCTTAAGGGGGCATGGCTTGAGCAGCCTGAGGGGCAGGGAAGAACACAGGGATTAGAAGGCATTCTCCTGCTTGCTCTGGGTCCATGCTACCACCCCCAGCACAAGGGCATCATCAAGATGTAACACACAGTCCCCTCCCATAACTCTGGGACCCCCAAAGCAAGCACATGTAGGACGCAAATTGGTTCAGTTGTGGTACGTTGTGTAAGTTCCACAACTGGGGAGCCTGGACACCTGGGAGGGATCACGACCTCTGAAGGGTCACTTGTCCACTGCCCTCAACACTCAGGTCTCAGGCCCCGGTGGCCCCACTGGCCGCACCTCACCTCGGTTGGGCCTCCAGATCTTCTCCATGCCATGCCGCATGAGCACAATACGGGACAGCTCAGTGAAGGACTCGGTGACATTGAAGTTGCACAATGGGCTGACCTCGAAGAAGGTCATGCAGTTCTTTTCTGCGTAGGCGCGTGCCTGCTCCGTTGGGACTTGCCGCTTGAAGGCCAGGTGCAGCCGGTTCCCAACCAGGATCCGGGGGACCCCAGGTGCATGCTTGGTGGGGGGAGGCAGAAGACTCATTACAGGTATGAATGTGGGATGTACCCCCACCTTGGCTGCCTCCATCCCGATTCTATGACGAGGTGACACTCAGACCCATGAGCCATGGCCCGTTGGGGCAGAAGATCCCAACCTTCAAGTGCCATGCTGATCAGTACGAGAAAGGATGCAGAGAGCTGGGGCCATGGTAGAGGCAGTAAACGGGAGCTACTAAGGCCCCTGTGGGGATGGGAGTACACATGCCCTGGGGAGGGGTGCCCATGGAAGAGGGTGTCCGCAAGTGCACACTTACCTCATCAATCTCCTTGATCCAGCGGTCAATGCCATCAAAGGACCAGCGGTTGGTGATGTCATATACCAGGAGGATCCCCTGCAAGGAAGACATGTGTCACAAGGCCAAAGGGTCAGCCAGATGGAGGCCTCTTGTTCCGAAATGGAGCCCCAGTGGTGACATGCACCCTTTCTCCTATCACAGGCAGGGCAGGGACACTCAGCATAGCTAGATAGCTTTCAGGGGATCATGTGGGTTACTTAACACATGGAGTATGGACAACACACCGGGAGATATCTTGTCATATTTAAGAGGGGTCTCTGGTATTGGGCACTGTCTCCTCACCATGGCCAGGCCCATGTGGCCCTGGGGCCCTGGAGACCATCATGTGGGGTGGCAGAATGTCATCAATGGTCAAAGATCTTATAATCGCAATGCTGCAACCCCCCCCCCCCCCCGGGGACTTGGCAGGAGCGGAATTGGCATTTTTTTCAACTTCTTTCCTCCAAGCACATCGAAAACACTATCCTGTGACCATTCAAAAGTCACGGGAGCTAAAACAGGTGCACACAGATCTATGGTGTGGGAAAGACCCTGTGGACAATCCTGGCAGGCAGATGTGGACGGTGTCCCTGACACTCTGTCTTGGGGCTCCAGGGAAACTGAGCAAAGGTGTTTCTGAGTTTTCCAGCCCAAACTTGCAGAGCAAGACATCAGTCACTCTAGCAGCCATGTGTGCAGCCCCACCGGCCAGCAGAGGGTTTGCTATGGGACTTTCCTGTCACATCCCTTAGAGACTAATTACTCAGACCTCAGCTCTGGGCTACCTCCGTCTGCCCTGAATGTCTCAGCAGTGACCTGTCACAGGCCTCAGGAAAGTGACTTGAGAGAGTGCCCCCAGACCTCCACCCCGCCCATCTGGCCCTGCACTCCACTCTGAAGCTGGCTCACACCTTCCCTGTCCCTCATGTCTCCAACACACACAGGCAGGAAAAAAAGCACAGCTGAGATGGAAGGCACAGGATGTCTCCATCTCAAAAGGAATGAATCTAAAGCCTTTCTCCTTAAAAATGTCCTTCAAATTTTGGAAGACTTAAATGTTGCCCAGGTCCTGTTAAGAGGAATGTAGAAATTACTTTAACGCTGCTCCCCTGCTCTCTGGACAGAAAGCCTCGCACAGAACAAGCAGAGCTGCCTGCCCTCGCGGAGGAAGGTCTATGCCTAGAAGAAAAGATCCCCTTGAGCCCACTTGAAGGAAACTGAGGGGTAGCAGGAGTGAGTCCTATTGCCTGGGGCACAAGGAACAAAGCCTTTTGGTCTCAGGTCAGGTGGGGACATGCACCCGACCCTCCAAATCCCCACCTAAGAAATCACTGAGGATGTGTCGGAAGACCAGCCCTCACAGATGTTCATCACAGCATGAAACAAACTGCATGTGCAGTCAGGGCTGTTGAGTGAGTTGAGGTGCAGACATGCCTCACAGAGGGTAGAAGTAACAGCAGTACACCTCAGAGCGTATGTGCTGATCCTGGGCAGGCACACAACAGACTGCAGAGTGAGAAGCATGGATCCCAAACTATAGGTACAGTATGGTGCCTGGCTGGTCTGGCTCAGCGGTTAGAGTGGCGTCCCAGAGACCAGAGTCTCGGGTTCAATTCCAGTCAAGGGCACACATCTTGGTTCGTTCTCCAGCCCCGTTGGGGTTGTGTGGAAGGTAACCAATCAATGTGTCTCTCTCACAATGATGTTTCTCTCTCTATATATATATATGTATGTGTGTGTGTGTGTGTATCTATCCCTCCCACTTTATCTGAAAAACCAATAGAATATCCTCAGGTGAGCATTAAAAAAAAAGGTACAGTCTGGTGTTTTATTTTTTCTTTATTGATTTTAGAGAGAGGAAGGGAGCAAACATTGATGAGAGAGAACATCAATTGGCCGCCTCCTGCAAGCCCTGCACTGGGGATGGGCCCAAAACCTGGGCATGTGCCCTGACCAGGAATCCAACCAGCAACCTCTTGGTGCGTGGGTCAACACTCAGCCATTGAACCACACTAGCTGGATCCTTATGGTGTTTTAAACTAGACATATAAACATACAGCACACCACACAGAAAATGTTCCCATGGATGTAACCACATTTTGAAAGGCTAGATGAGGGCTATCCTCTTGTTCACGCTTATCTGTGTAACATTTGAAAGCTTAAATCAGTTAGCAAAAGCCCATCTTACAGGCTCCGGCTTCAACTGCACCCTGAGGCTATTGGGGAGCCCCTAGCTGCCCCTCTGGGCTGCCACATACTACCTCTCTGGGGCTGCCCAAGTATGATGGGTCGGGGTTATGATGATCCATCCCCAAATCTACCAATCACAGGAAAAATACAAACTTGGTAGGGGAATCTAAATGAGGGTCTTAGTTACCAGAACCACCCCCTCAAGGGGGTCAGTTATGTGACTCAGAGGCAGAAAGAGGGGCAAACAGAAAGAGATTCTCACTATATTCTTTTTTTTTTTTAAATAAAAGTAATACATGCTCACATTTTTTTTTGTTTTGTTTTTAATATGTTTTTATTGATTTTTTTAGAGAGAGAGGAAGAGAGAGAAACTGCTTGGTTGCCTCCCGCATGGAAACCCGAATGGTGATCAAACTCACAACCTGGGTATGTGCCCTGACTGTGAATTGAACTGGTGACCTTTTGGTGCACAGGCTGATGCTCAACCCACTGAACCACGCCAGCCAGGGACATGCTCACATTTTTAAAAAATTCGTACTCTTGGGGTATAAACAGCAGCTCTCCCTCTCCTCCAGGAATAACCTGCTGTTTCTTGGCATTTCTGCACAGTGCTGCTCATTCCTAACACAGTCACAGAGAAAACTTCCCGGCCCCTCCTGAATGCCCCCCATACCTGGGCCCTTCCCCACAGTGGCAACAAATCCTGTCAAGCTCATCAGTCAGTACTACTTTTGGCTCTCAGGTAATTTTACCTTATTTTATTATAAATCTCTGAGCACATATAGCTCAACCTGTAAGAAGCAGAATTGGGCCTGGCTGGTGTGGCTCAGTGGATGAGCGTCGACCCATGCACCAAGAGGTCGCTGGTTCGATTCCAGGTCAGGAACATTTGGCCAGGTTGTGGGCCAAATCCCCAGTCAGGGAGGCATGCTGGAGGCAACCAATCGATGTTCTCTCTCAACAATGTTTCTATCTCTCCCTCTCCGTTCCAGTCTCTCTAAAAATCAATAAAGAAAAAAAAAGTTTTTTTTAAAAGAAAAGAAGTGGAATTGCTAGGCCCTGAAGTGGGTGTCCTTGTTGTCAAAGTTATTTCTCAAGCTATAGCATATATACCTGAAAATACAGAGATTTTAAGTATGAACAGTTTAATGAGTTTGGACAACCAAGGTACAGAAGTATATTTTTAAAAAATTCAATTCTGCCCTGGCCGGTTTGGCTCAGTGGTTGGAGCATCGGCCTGTGGACCAGAGAGTCCCGGGTTCAATTCCCGGTAGGGGCATGGACCCAAAAAAAATTTCAATTCCATTTTGGCACGTGTAATGCATTTGTATGGCAGAGCTCCCAAGAAACACAGGCTGCACATGGAAGCCTCTGCCTCACCCCTAAAATCACCTAGGCTCTGCCCAAGAGTAAGTGACCCATTGAAAGTGAGGAGCAACTGTCAAATGGTCCCTGACCCATATGCCCACCCACTTGACTGGTGACAAGATACAAACTGGTGTCCTAATCAGCACTCGCTGAATGGTAAGTACACACCCCAGACCACTGTCCAAGTGAAAGCCTTTTTGTGTGAACAACTGATCTCTATCCAGAAAGAGACTAGCACTTGGCCCTTCTCTTCCAGCTGACCTCACACGCTCAACCAAAAAAATGTCCCACCCCCCACCCCACCCTGCCTACAGCTCTCGGCACGCTGAGCCCAGGGGACCTACTCTCTTCAGCAGCAGAGGTACTGGCCTCCCAGGGCCACAAGTGGCCACCTCAGACCTCAGCAAGAGAAAACAAGGCCCATGTGTAGAAGCTCGGGGATAGAAAGGTTATTTCTTGTGGTTAAGAACCACAAGACAGTCCCCACCAGTTTGGCTTAGCAGTTACAACATCAGCCTGCAGACCGAAGGGACATGGGTTTGATTCCCGGTCAAGGGCATGTACCCGGGTTGCAGGTTCGATCCCTGGCTCCAGTCAGGGTCACATGGGAGGCAACCAATCAATGCGCCTTTCTCACATCGGTTTTTCTCTCTCTCCCTCCATTCTATCTAGAAATCAATGGAAAAGGAATCCTCAGGTGAGGAATAACAAAAAAGAACCACAAGCCCTGGCCAGATTGGCTCAGCAGTTAGAGCATCAACCCAAAGACCAATGAGTCGTGGGTTCAATTCCAACCAAGGGCACAAACTTCAGTTGCGATTTGACCCCGGCTCTGGTTGGGTCGCGCAGGAGGCAGCCACTCGATGAGTCCCTTTTATGTCGATGTTTCTCTCCCTTTCCCTCTCTCCCACTCTATCTGAACAAAAATGGAAAAATGTCCTCAGGTGAGGATAAAAAAACATACAACAACAACAAATAAATTGTGCTGTCTATTAAAAAAAAAGAACCACAACACAGTCCTGTTGCAGAACAGGTGACAGCAGTCAGGAGTTGGTGGTGACTTTTGTAACCTGGGCCCTGAGGGACCCACAAAGTCTTTCCAGTCTTAACCAAGGGTGGGAGACTGACTGGAAATATAAAACTTGACTGGGAAAGACAGTCCTGCTACTCAGTGTACTATCAGGAGCCACACAGAGCAGCAAAACCAGGCGGTGCTTACTCTGGATACTGCCTTCACGTCTGCAGGATGGAAATGAGACAGAGCAGAGCAATGCCACTAAGATAAGAGCACCCGAGGACAGCCTTGAGTTCAGAGCCCACTGCTCCCCATTCAGGCCTGATATATGCAACTGGCTCCTTCAGCCCAGAATTGACAAGAACCTTCCGAATTAAAGCAAGAGCAATAACAAATACACAACCAACTGGACTGGATGCTTTGGAGAGAAAGTGAAGGTGATGACATAGTGTTTGCTCCCCAGAGACACTGTATAATTTGGCAAATGCCCAAGCTTGTTAGATGTTCTCAATTAGCTGAACAGAAATGCTGTCTGTGGTCTGTTCCACATTCACAGCCAGAGTGTGCAGAACAGCTGAGTCCTCTCAGGTTTGATCTCAGTGGCTTTTTGATGTTTCCCAAATGCCCTTCATTATCATAACCCAAGGTAACTACCCTCTTATCTCTTCATTTTCTTTTTTATTTCAAAAGTAATATGTGTTTATTGTAGAAAAATTAGGAGATAGTCAAAACCAAAAGGAAGACCACTGAACTCAGTCATCTCATCGTTCAGGGTAACTAGCACTACCACTTGGAACACAGCTTTCTCATGTTCTTGTATGTATAAAATCATATGCAGTCACCTCTTTAAAATAAAAGTCCTGGCCAATTTCAGTGGTTAGAGCGTCGGCCTGCAGTCCCGAGAGACCTGGGTTCGGTTCCCGCTGAGGGCACGTACCTCGGTTGCAGTTTGTCCCCAGCTCTGGTTGGGTCGTGTGGTGGCAGCCACTCGATGTGAAATGTCCCTTTCACATCGATGTTTCTCTCTCTCTTCCTCTCTTTCCCTTCTACTCTATCTGAACAAAAAATTGGAAAAGTGTTCTCGAGTGAGAATTAAAAAATAAATAAATAAATAAAACAAAATAAAAAAACGGGGACCCTTGCCCTGGTCAGTTTTGCTCAGCGGTTAGAGCTTCAGCCCTCGGACCAAAGAGTCATGGGTTCAATTCTGGTCAAGGGTACTTCTGATCAAGGGCATGTATCTTGGTTGCGGTTTGGTTCCCCGCAGTGGATGGGGTCATGTGGGAAGCAACCAATCGATGTGCCTCTCTCACGTTCATGTTTCTCTCTCTACCCTTCCCTGCAACTCTATCCAAAAGTAAATGGAAAAATATCCTCGGGTGAGGACTTTTATTCTTTTTATCCTCACCTGAGAACATTTTTGTATTTATCTTCAGATACAGCAGGAGGGAACGAGGGAGGAAGAGAGAGAGAAACATCAATGTGAGAGAGACACATCGACTGGTTGCCACCCACGCAACCCAGACTGGAGCCAGGAACAAACTGCAACTGAGGTACGTGCCCTTAGCGGGAACCAAACCCAGGACTCTGTGGTCCGCAGGCCGACGCTCTAACCGCTGAGCCAAACCGGCCAGGGCTCAGGTGAGGACTTTTAAAAAAATAAAATTAAAATAATAAATAAAGGGACCAATGGGACACACTCATCTGAAGGGCACTGGGTTCTGTAGGCAGTGTTTGCTACTTAACCTCACCTCTGGTGCTGATGTAGGGTGCTGACAAACACCCCCAAGCTGCTATCCACACCCTGATTACTTAGGACCAGCTGCTCCAGGTGGAACTGCTAGGTGAAGCACCACCCCTGCAGGCCCCCACAGGCCCCCAACACCGCACACACTGGGGACCATCAAGCTAGAGCTCTAGGTACTATCACCGACAGACACCTCTGCAGTGCTCCCAGGACAAGAGCCACCAAGCCCAGCCTGGGGTCCTTGCCTCCACCCCTCAGGAGAGAAGAAAGCTACATTCAGCATCTCCCTGCCTCCCCCCCATGTCTGAGAGGCATCTACTGAGGAAGGCCCTGAAGGAAGGTGCAGGTCAGGGGTCCCCAACAACTAAGCAGATTCAGCCAGACCTCTGCCAGACTTCTCTCCTTCTTGGCCTCCTCAGGTTCCATGCAGCAGAGAGATCAGCAAGAGTACAGAGTGCCAAGGCAGCTGTAGACTTCATCAATCCTGACTAACAGAGCTAAAAGGACACCCCATGGGGCTCCCTATGAGCCCAAGCCAGAGTAAGAGGGTGACAGGAAGCCCCTCTCCTGATGAGTGCAGACCCACCTGGAGTTCTTGCCCCACACAGCAAGAGGCCCCAAAATGCACCCAAGTACCCCATCTCATACAAGTGTGTGCTGCTCCTGGCAGAGGACCCGGCCAGGTGTGTGAAGCAGGGCTGGACAGGTCTGAACTTAGGGGTCTCCTTGGAAATTTCAGAAGTCTGTGCGGGATCATGGCCTGCTCTGCATTACAAATAGGACTGATCAGTCTCGTCATGTTGACACAGCAGTGACAGCCTATAGCTGGCCAGTTCATGCAACTACTTCTCACCTTTCCTTTGAGCCTCAAATCATACACTGATCCATGCAGCATGCAAGCATGCTCGGGGAGCCCAGAGTATACAGAGAGGTGTGAGCGAGCCCTCGCATGCTCCCCTAAGGTGCCCCTGCATGCCCCACCCCCAGAATGCCCCTGTACAGTTCCCAAGGTGCCGCCAAATCCCCTGTTCATCCACTGAAACTTGGGTGTACTTCCATGGCAGCCCCTAGGATAGCCCCCATCTCCTGCTCTTTGCTAATTACCCACCTCTACAAGCAGTCCCTCCCCACAGTGGCTCCAATGTTCAGTCTCCACAGTCCTGGTTAGGAATCCAGCCCAACCTGGGAGCCCCCAGCCCTGTGATGAATGTGGCTGCCCCAGCAACCTCCTCATGCCACACATGGAGGTCCTGGGTAACGGGGAAGTCACTTTTGGTTCCCAGTGAACCAGGTGATCAAGTGGTGTCTCCACAGTACAGGGTCCCAGCACCAGCCACAGGAGCCAGTGGAAACAGAATGGGGACATAGGGACTGGATGCCCTCTAAGAGCTGAGGCCCCTCACTTGGAGGGCAGCCTAGTGGAAGCCTGGTGTCCCAACATCAAAACTTCTTAGAGCCCTAGCTGGTTTGGCTCAGCAGTAGAGCATGGGCCCACAGACCAATGAGATGAGGGTTTGATTCCAGCCAAAAGCACATACCTCAGTTGTGGTTTGTCCTCAGCCCTGGTTGGAGTCTTGAGGGAAGCAACCAGTTGATATGCCCCTCTCACATCGATGTTTTCCTCTCTCTCCCTTTTTCTCCCTCCCACTCTATCAGAAGATAAACAGAAAAATATCCTCAGAAAACTATCAGAAGATAAATAGAAAAAAACGTCTTGCCCTGACCGGTTTTGCTCAGTGGTTAGAGCGTCAGCCCGCGGACCAGAGAGTCCCGGGTTTGGTTTCCGCTAAGGGCACGTACTTCGGTTGCAGTTTGTCCCCGGCCCCAGTTGGGGTTGTGTGGGTGGCAACCAGTCGATGTGTCTCTCTCACATCGATGTTTCTCTCTCTCTCCCCGCCTCCCGTTCTATCTGAAGTTGAATGCAAAAATGTCCTCGGGTAAGGATAAAACACACACACACACAAAAAAAACTTCTTAGAAAGAGGCACACATGTGGGGGTGCCAATGGGGTAAAAAAGGAGAAATATCTGTAACAAAAAAATAAATAAAAATTTTTTTAAAAAAAGAGGCACACATGTGGGATCTGATAGCACAGAAACATTTGTCCTTCTGGAGAGCAGCACCAACAGTGTCACTGGTCTTACCTGTGCGCCCCTGGAGTAGGACCTGAAGATGGTGCAGAACCTGCCCTGGCCCGACGTGTCCCTGAAACACAGAGGAAGTCAGTAGGATGTGCCCTGTGGAACCCTGGCATGTGCAGAGTGATCCCTAAAAGGTACTCTCCCTCCCCCTCCACAGCTTATGCTGGCCAACCTCCGTGCCCCAGGAGAACACCCTCCCAGGCTGGAGAATCCCAAACCTATGGGAATTTACATTTCAATGTCAAGGTTCTAGAAAATGCTCCTTCATGTATAGCTCAATAAAGGGTGAGGGGAGGGTGTCAGTGGCTACTGTGAAAATGAGTCTTAATGGGCAAAGGGAGCTGGGCTCTACCAGAACAAACAGCCTTGGACCTTTCAGTTTCTACATCACAGAGCAGAATCCATTCCATGTTTACACAGGATCTCTTTAAATAGCTATTCCACATAAAATGTTAACAGGACTCCGTCCTTCCTGTCGCTTTACGGATTCTTGACTTGCTTCATTTAGCTTCTGAGGCTCCAGTAATAACTCTGAAGTGCTATAACTGCCCCACCCCCAGGCACCACAACCCCACACAAAGCGCCTCACCAGAGTTCCAGCTTGACCCGCCGACCGTCCAGCAAGATGGTAGTCGTCTTGTAGTCGATCCCTGCAAGAAAGCAAAGGGCTGCTGAAGGCGATGCCTAGAGACGAGCTGGCCAGGATCTGCCTCTCCAGGCTTCTCCAGGCTGTTTCTACAGCCCAGTGGAGTCAGGTGAAGGAGCAAGCTACCCCAAGCTGGAGCCTTCTCGTGGCTTCAGCCTACGGACCCAGGCATGCTGGGCACCAGTCAAAGGGAGGATGGCACAGGAGTGGAATCTAGCAGGCCTGCAGGAGGACGGCTCATCTCCAACTGACCTACTTTGTGTGGGTCTCGTTGAGAAATTTCCAAGTTCCTGAGTTTTAGCCCCCAGGTACTGACAATTGGAGCGTGCTTGAAACATTATTAAGGGTAAAGTAATTTCTAAAATACCATTTCTCTGGAGAGCTCTCTGCAGAACCTAGGCATGCCATATCTTTAGTTTTTAATTTTTTTATAATTTTATGGGGAAAAGTAAGTCCAAGAGAAGTTGGTAGGATCAGGGACAGCGCTGGACATGTTACAAGTAAGATCTTCAACTGGCCCTGGCTGGTGTTCTCAGTGGTTAGAGCATCGGCCCAGGCACCAAAGGGTCACAGGTTCGATTCCCAGTCAAGGGTACATACCTGGGTTGCAGGTTGGATCCCTGGACCCACTAGGCGTGCATGCAGGAGGCAACTAATCATGTCTCTCTCTATATATAAGAAAATAAATGAAAAAAATATCTTGGGTGAGGATTAATAACAGCAGCAGCAAAAAATGATCTTCAACTGGGTAATGGACCATCCAGAAACTTCCTAAAAGCTCAGTGTTCCTCCCCCCTTCTTAAGCCGTAAAAAGGCAGTTTTATAACGCTCCAAAAGGGCTCGAAAATGGGCATTTGAACATAGGTATCTCTCACACAATGTGTACCGGAAAGCTGACCTCAGAGTGTCTGCACCCAGCACCTTCCTGGTGCCTCAGGCATAGGTGCCTCTTCCCCCACTGTATTTAAGCCTGGCCAACTCTTTTTTTTTTTTTTTATCCTCACCCGAGGACACTTTTGCATTTATCTTCAGACAGAACATAAGGGAGAGAGGGAGGAAGAGATAGCAAAACATTGATGTGAAAGCGACACATCGAGTGGTTGCCACCCACATAACCCCAACTAGGACTGGGGACAAACTGCAACTGAGGCATGTGCCCTTAGCGGAAACCGAACCCAGGCCTCTCTGGTCTGTGGGCTGACGCTCTAACCCCACTGAGCCAAACCAGCCAGGGCATGCCTGGCCAACTGTTAAATGCAAGTCAAAAGCTGGTTTCATGCATCAAATGACACTCAAGAGAAGGAAAATGCAACCCACAAAATGGGAAAAAATATTTGGAAATCACATATCTGACAAGGGATTGCTATCTAGAGTATTTAAAGAAATTCTACAACTCAACAACAACAAAAAACAAATGAAGCCCTGGCCAGTTTGGCTCAGTGGTTAAAGCGTCAGCCTTCAGACCAAAGCGTCACAGGTTCAATTCCCAGTCAAGGGCTGTGTAAGAGGCAACCAATCAATGTGTCTCTCTCACATTGATGTTTTCCCTCCCTCCCTCCCTCCCTCCCTCCCACTCTATCTGAAAATCAAAAGAAAAATATCCTCAGGTGAGAATTAAAAAAACCAAACAACCGAATTACCATACGATCCAGAAATTCCAGGTTAATATCCAAAAGAAATGAAAGCGAGGAATCGAACATGTATGTATTTTTATACCTGGGTTCATAGCAGTGTTATTCATAATAGTCAAATGTAGAAATAACCCAAGCATCCATCAAGGGATGACTGGATTAACAAAATGGTCCATACATACAATGGGATATGATTCAACCTTAAAAAAGGATGAAATTCTGATACATGCTATAACATAGCTGTACCCTGAGGACATTATGCTCAGGGAAATAAGCCAGTCATAGAAGAATATATACTCTATGATTCCAATTCTATGAGGTCCTTAGAGTAGTCAGTTTCAGAGACAGAAAATAGATTAGAGGTTACCAGGGACTGGGGGAGGGAAATGGAGAGTCAGTATTTTTGTTGTGTTAATCCTCACTTGAGAATATTTTTCCCACTGATTTTTTTTAGAATGTGTGAAGGGGGTGGGGTGGAGAGAAAGAGCGAAACATCGATGGGATTGGTTGCCTCCCACATCCACCCCAACTGGGGCGGGGATTGAACCTGCAACCCAGGTATATGCCCTTGACTGGGAACTGAACCCGTGACACTTTGGTGGGTTGGCAGATGGTCTAACCACTAAGCGACACCAGCCAGAGCAAGAGCCAGTATTTAATAAAGACAGAGTTTCAGTTTGGAAAGATGGAAAAGTTCTGGAAATGGATAGTGGTGACAGTCACACAACAATATAAATGTACTTATGCTTCTGACCTGTACACCTAAAAATAATTAAAAGTGAATTTCATGTTATGTATATTTTACCACAGTATTTTTTTAAAGTGAGAGAAGATTCTCTTGCACATATTCTCGTGTGAAAGAACTATTCTTCAGGAAGAAACAACACTCAGGTCTGTCTCCACCATATCTCCTCTGCATTTGCCCTTCCTCCAGTTCTCATCTGCTGATAACCAGCTTCTTTGGGTGGAAGCTCTTGGAATTCTATCAAACAGGAAGCACAGATCTGGCCCAGAACTCGCCTCCCCTTGGTCCTGTCTCCAGTTTCTGTGAGATGGACCCTGTGAGAGTAATTTCCAGGAAGACAGGATGCGGATGCCCATCCTCTAAGCAACATCAGATCCGCCTCCATGTGGTAGATCAGCCTCTCAGGCTCAGGCTCAGGCTCAGGCCTCAGGGACTGGACACTGACTGCTCTGCTCCTCTCCCCGAGGCTGGCCCCCTTGAAAGGAATGGCCCTGTAGCCAAACTACGCAGAGGTGGCTGCTGTGACCCAAAGCTGCAGGGAACTTCGGGTGGGGGGGGGATCCCAGAAAGGGCTGAGGAGGAGACAGGGTACAGGGAGATGGCTCTCACACTCCACTCACCTCTGGGTGTTGTGCTCCCTGGGCACCTTGACCTATCTGCCCAGGACAACGGGACATTAACTTTGGTCTGTGTCAGAAAGGATGCCCCATTGCCACTTTCCAGCAGCTCTGCTCAACACCCTGTCAAACATGTGCGTGGGACCCGTGGGGACAGGCACTTAGAGCTGGGAACTGGTAACAAGGGTCTGCTGTCCTCCCAACACCCCTCCTGCTGCAGGTATCCACACTACCATTGGGTCAGAGGGCTCATTAGAGAACAAGATTCTCAGGAATACTGCAGAGAAGCTGGAGTTCAGTTTGATGGCTGAGTTACCACTGCAGTGATTTAGACTCACAGTGACTGTGCTCTGTGGAGCCCTCTGGTGCCGGTCCTGGCCTCTAGGGAAAGGTGGCCTCCACACCTGGCACTAGCATGAGCACCCCCAGGAAGGCTGAACACCTGGTGTGAGGAGAGTGGGCAGCAGGTCCCTATAGCAGAGAGTAGGGTCCAGCTAAGAGCTGAGGACAACCCTAAGAGGTAAAAAAGGTGGGGGGTGGCGATGGCATGCGTGAGCCTTTCGGCTGACACACTTGGATATAGAAAAACTCAAAAAACATTCTCCCAGCTTACTCTGCCCTTCACCCCACCACATCCCAAATCTGAATAAAAACTTACAGTGTGCTTTATAAATTCATAGAAAATAAAGACATAGCAAGGCCAAAGAGAGAGGCAGGTAGGAAGGCAGAATCTCCCTGCTTTAAACAAAGGTAGGCGCCAACCACTCTTCACTATGAATAAGCTCTGACAATTCTTTGTTTGCTGAAGAATTTCAATCACCCACTTCCTTACTTCACCCCATCAGTCCTTTTTTTTTTTTTTTTGCTTACTCCTCACCCGAGGATATTTTTCCATTGATTTTTAGAGTGGGAAAGAGGGTAGAAGGGAGAAAAAGAGAAACATCGACTGGTTGCCTCCTGCATGACCCTGGCTGGGGCTGGGGATCTGACCCACAACCCAGGTACTTGCCCTTGACTGGAACTGAACCCAAGACCCTTCGGTCAATGGGCTGATGTTCTAACCACTGAGACAAACCAGCCAGGGCACCCCATCAGTTCTTAAATACTGAGCAGCTTTTTGAAAAAAGGATGACCAGAGGTTTCATTCAAAACATTTAATACCATCCTGGCCATTGTGGTTCAGTTGGTTGAGCATCATTCCCTGCACTGAGAGGTGGCAGGTTCGATTCCTAGCCAGGGCACATACCCAGGTTGTGGGCTCAACCCCTACTATGGGGGCATGCAGGAGGCAGCTGATCAATGTTTCTTTCTTTCTCTTTATTTTTATTTATTTATTTATTTTATTCTCACCCAAGGACATTTTTGCATTCATCTTCAGATACAGCGGTGGGGGGGAACATTGATTCAAGAGAGACACATCGAGTGGTTGCCACCCACATGACACCAACCAGGGCAGGGACAAACTGCAACCGAGGTACCTGCCCTCAGCGGGAACAGAACCCAGGACTCTCTGGTCCGCAGGCTGATGTTCTAACCGCTGAGCCAAACCGGCCAGGGTATCTTTTTTTTTTTTAAATATGTTTTTATTGATTTTCTAGAGAGAGAGGAAGGGAAACAGAGATAGCGGCATCAATGTGCGAGAAACATCTATTGGCTGCCTCCTACATGCCCCCCACTTGGGATCTAGCCTGCAACCCAGCTGCAACCCAGGCATGTGCCCTGACTGGGAATTGAACTGGGACCTCTCAGTCCATGGGACCCCATTCAATTCACTGAGCCACACTGGCCAGGCGTGCTCGCTCTCTCTCTCTCTCCCCCTCTCTCTCCCTCCCTCCCACTATCCAAAAAAATCAGTGGGAAAAAATGTCCTCAGGTGAGGATTAGCAAAACAAAACAAAAAAATCAATAAAAACATATCAGAATGGCTGCCATCAACAAATCATCAAACAAAAAGTGCTGGTGAGGGTGTGGAGAAAACGGGACTCCAGTACACTGCTGGTGGGAATGCAGA